GTGTCAAAGAATCGGCGCAAAGACGCAGGGTCGGAACTCTTCTCAAAAAGCCGCGCGAAGCCTAGGAACCGACGAGCGCTGCGGCCTTCGTCACCAAGACAGAGCAGCCGGAAAAACCTAGAGCCCGGAAAACAGTTTGGTAGCCGGGCAAGACGCTCTCTTTGTATCATGTTTAATCAAAGGACTTGGAAGCCCATCCCTTTCAAAGACCTTGGAGAACGCCCTGGGCTGGTTGTTTGCTGGCGCACGGCCGAATTTTGTTTCAGCACGGAGCCGTGGGGTGTGACACACATACAGCGAGGTCACGTGTAAACGCACACACAACTTGACAGGGAACCGTTCCCAAAAAACAATGCAGCTGCCTTTCGCAGGCAAGCAGTGAGCGCGAGACTGACTGGACGTGGCAGTGTTACTGTTTAAAGAAACTATCTGCCAATGAAAGCGCGGGGCTTTCTCCAGTCGTGGCGACTGTGACTGTTGAAAGTGTAGGTTCCCGACGGCGCCTGCGACTGTCGAGAGCCCAGATCCTCGACAGGCGCCTGTGGCTGTCGAGAGCCCAGGTTCTCGATAGTTCGCCGTTGTCTGTGATTGTCGCGGGCATAGGTGCTCGACAGTTCAACAACGCCGGTCAGAAAGCCCAGATTGTCGACAGTTCAACGACGCCGGTGAGAAAGCCCAGATTGTCGACAGTTCGCCGGCGCCTGGACGGTTGAGAGGCGGTTCTTGCTTGTTGCTAGATGTCGCCGGCGCTTGGAACCGTTGAAGAGAGCTCGCCCAAAATAAAAACTTCGAAAATTCAAACGCGGCAACGGTCTTAAGCAAATCACCGTCGAGAAGGGAGGGCCGCGTCGGGCCTCCCTTCTCAGCAGTCCCAGGCGCCGGCGACCGTCGAGAGCCCCTCTGCGACTTTCTTAGGATTGCACCTCAAGAAACAGAGGTGGTTCTCAACAGTCCAAAGCCCACGCCCCATTGTTCTCCGGGGGGGGGCTCTCGACAGTCACAGGCGCCGGCGATCGTTGAGAGCTGAGGGCCTATTGGGCCCCCCCCTCTCGACAGAGATTTGCTTAAGACCACCTTGCTTCTTTGAATTTTGCATTTCTTCAAGTCAGGGGGCTCTCGACAGTCACAGGCGCCGGCGACTGTCGAGAGCCCCCCTCACTTGGGCTGTCGACAGTCACAGGCGCCGGCGACTGTGGATAACCTGGGTTCTCGACAGTCACAGGCGCCGGCTCTCGACAGTCACAGGCGCCGGCGACTGTTGAGAATCTGGGCTCTCGACAGTCACAGGCGCCGGCGCAATGTCGAGAATCTGGGCTCTAACCCGGATCTAGACTGTCACAGGCGCTGGCGAACAGCCGGCAACTCGAGAAAGCCCTCGCTTTCATTGGCAAATAGTTTGTTTAAAAGGTACCACCGCCATGTCCAGTCAGTCTCGCGCACACTGCTTGCCTGCCAAAGGCAGAATTCTTTTTTGGAACGGTTCCCTGTCGAGTTGCGTGCGTGTATGTTTACACCTCAGTGTTCAGCCAAGCTTGCTGTTGTCACACCCCACGGCTCCACGTTGAAACAACTTTCGTTTGAGTGTGCGCAGAAACCAGTCCAGGGAGCTCTCCAAGGTCCTTTGAAAGGGAGGGGCTTCAAGTCTTATGATTAAGCAAGTAAAAAGTGCGCGCGTTGCTCGGCTACCAAAGTGTTTTCCGGGCTCTAGGTTTAGCCGGCAGCTCTGTCTTGGCGACGAAGGCCGCAGCGCTTGTCGGTTTGAAGGCTTCGCTCTGCGTTCCTTGGCTGTTAGGCAGGGTTCCGATTCTGACTTTGTCTCTTTAACATTGCGCTGACTTTTTTACACATGGTCATAACAGGGATTTCGATGGGCCAGGAATTCTTCCTTTTCTAGGGGCGGCTTCCAGATGGCAGGGCAGCTGTGAAGGGAAAGGGCGGTGAGCTTCTTTGATCGCGGGGCTGCCCCGGAGCAGCGTCTCTGCAACTTAGATCCCCAACCAAAAAAAGGAGTAGCGCTGAACGAAGCGCCCTTCCAGCTCTGAATAGTGTCTCTCCACCACGACGAAAGTGAAGAGCCCTCGTTTGCCTAGAAAACAAAAACACACATGAAATTACCTTCGACTTGTTCGACTATGTTAAGACCATCCCAGAACATGTTCAAGAAGTTCTTCCGGCCATGCTCGGGTCATATCCGAGGATATTTTTAAGCACCTTGCGTACTGTAAGCAGTCCCAACGGAGACAAAGTGGAAGGTGCTGTGCCAAACTACTAGCAAAGGTGATCATTTTTTGCAGTGTTAAAGAGAACGATGGAAAACCAAAAGGGGTTGCAGGGGCAAAAGTGATAATTGTCTGGCCAGGAATGCACACCGCTACTGCCTTGCGTGATTTGCGATGCGCAGTTGGATGACAGCTAATCAAATCAACCGCAAGGGCTCCCTGAAGTACAGAACGTGCGTGCGAAAGATTGGCTTCGTCCTAAGGACACTCGCCAAATGAAAGAAACCCACCACTTCTCTCGTGAAAAGATTCAGGTCTAGCACTTCCAGGTCCGGTTTAGGAGTCTTCACGTTGACTCGAGCCCTAAAACAGTCAAAAAGATGGACTTGAGAGAATAAGACAACCACCCCAAAACAAACACGTGCACGCACACACACGCACGCACACACACACACATTTCATCAGAAAGCTGGCTTCTGAAGCAGCATCTGCAGCTGTAATGGCCATAGCCCACACTCGCTGCCCCAGCTGCCGGTTTTAAGCCTATGCCAAAGCCCTGCGATTCCAATATCTGTGCGATTGCTGCAGTCTTAGCGCCCGTATTGGTAACAGGGCTGAAATATTGAGGCCACAAGGCTGGTTCCCGTGACTTGGTCTCCCGCTCTCTCTTCTCTCTTTCTCTTTGTCTCTCTCTCTCTCTCTCTCTTTTCGACTAGGTTTGTTTTACTTTTTCCTCCTCCTCAATTTGCCTCAGCCATCCCATGACATCTGCCTTGTCCTGATTCCCTTCAAATTGGATGACTGCATTTCCTTGTCATGGAATACACATACTAGTGCCTTTTGGTACATCCTCAAGAGTACCCACGAAATGCGCATTGAAACTGAAACAACAAATCAAGCCCTTCTTGCATATTTAGGGAGCGCTGGAGGGATTGTTCCCCCTGTTTATTGGACGGGTTGAGAAGGTCCAGAATCAACATTTTGCAAACGACTGCATGCTCGCTAGGGAAACAAACCCAAAAGCAATGTTGCCCGGGATGAATGAACCCCTGTGCGAGCAAAACGGAGTGAGTGGGAATCCTTCACTTTTGTCCTGTTGTGGGCGACACCCCATGTGGGACGAGTTTTATCCAAAAACAGCTCAAAATGCAGCCGCCCAGAAGGCACTCACAAGGCTTCGGCTCCTACTTTCCCCGTTTCAGTGACGCTGACCTAGCATGCGCGCTCGCCCCGTGAAGGCCCAACGCCGACTGAATGTTGGTTCGATCAACTTGGAAAACACTGGTTCTGATATACACGCACACACACACACACACACCAACACACCACACACACACAAACACACCACACAACACACAAACACACCACACAACACACAAACACACCACACAACACACAAACACACAAACACATCATGCACAACAACACATTCAAACACACAAACACAAAACACACCCACACACACACACACACACATACACCCACGAAAACGCGCAGGCACACGCACAGGCAGAGGCACAAGCACAGGCACAGCGCAAACAAGTACACACGCACAAACACACACACACGCACGCACGCACACGCACACACACACACACACAGACACCCACCCACCCACCCACCCACCCACCCACCCACCCACGCACCCACGCACGCACGCACGCACGCACGCACGCACGCACGCACGCACGCACGCACGCACGCACGCACCCACCCACCCACCCACCCACCCACGCACGCACGCACGCACGCACGCACGCACGCACGCAGCGCGCGCGCACGCGCACACGCACACGCACACGCACACGCACACACCCACACCCACACCCACAGGCACAGGCACAGGCACGCACGCCCGCACGCCCGCACGCCCGCACGCACGCACGCAGCCGCGTACACACGCACCCACTCACCCACGCACCCACGCACCCACGCACACAGACACACACACACACACACACACACACAACACACTCACACACACACTCACACACTAACAGAAAGACGATACACACACACACATATATGCACACACACACACACACAAGCACTAACAGAAAGACGATACACACACACACACCTCTTTCCAACAAGTGAAGGATTAATAAATCCGGCCAAATGGCCTGGCCGGCAAGAAATCAGGGGAAACTTTGAATAAGGTTGTGAAGCCTCATCTAAGTGAACGTCCGGACACTGGCATGTCGGCGATCCAGATCCAAGTGGGCGGTGCCCACACCCCGTTGGGTTGACTTTTTGGTTCTATCAACTTTCATATAGCTCCTACTAGATCCCCGACCAAACAGGGAAGCACAAATGCCGCTCTACAGAGCGGAAGCCTCCTGGCACCCAGGCAGCTTTCCGGCTGAGTCAGCTGAAACGGAGAGATAGAATCGGAGATGGAATGGTGAGTGGCAAGTTGCCACTTATCCAGATGGGAACGCCAGTGGTATGCCTGCGCGCATCTCTCTGCCAGCAGCATGTGCCACACTCGGCCAACCGTATTGTTCAAGATGTCCTGAGGGCTTTTGCGTCTTTTGCACGGGCTTTGCTGTTGCCACGGAACATGTGCACGCACACTGCAGCAGGAAGTCTGACAGCACGCAACGGGCACGCACTCGCGAATCAGCCGAATCAACCTTGTCCACTCGTCAAACCAAAAAAAGGCGGGCAACTCCGAATCACGAATCCCCAATGAAAAAAACATGTTGGTCAATTCATGTTGATCAAGGGGATTAACCTGATCAACCAAATGAACGATTTCCTTTTGATCAACCAAAGTTAGTCAATTTGGTTCCCATCCGTTGGACCTGGCATCGATGTGGAGATCTCCGCCAAGTCTGATTCATAGTCGGTGCTCACTGCTCCTCTCTGCTCCGCTCCTGGATAGACAGCTGGACTGACTTCCGCACATGTCACGCGTTAAGGTGTGGTTTGAAGGGGACCATGAAAATGATGTTTGAGAAAAGGCAACATGCTCCCTATGAATAAGTGCGACGGGCTTGGCATATCCGCTAATTAGGGCCGAAACGCAAGAAAGGCACAAAGGCTCGTGAAATGCACATTGGCTGGGTCCACTAAATCAGGTGCTGCAACCCCTGGTCGGATTGGATTTGGCCGGCTGTAGGGGGCGTTGCATTAATCATAAACCGCGCACATAACTGTTGCACAAAACTTGGCAAGAGGCTGGACGTCTCAGTTTCACGCTTTGTCAACCTCAAAAAAGAAGCTAACATTGGATACCCATGAAAACTTCTCCATCGGCGGGAAGGCGGCCTTTAGGATAAAGACTGCTTTCACCAGGCCTTAAAGTCATGTGAGCCACGCTTGACATCTGCCTTCAAACCAGGAAGAAACCGTTTTGTGTTTTTTGGTGTTTTTCCTTATTATTATTTGTTTGGGGGGGGGGCAATCATTTTGCAAGTGGCATGTTTTCTTATCCCTCTGCTGTGAGTCGGTGCGAACGTGCTCAATTTGAGCGGCTGTCCAAGAGGCTGGCTTCAGCTTGCCGTTGTAAACTGCGCCAACCGGGTGCCCCTAGTCTTGACACATCTGCTTGCGCCCAGTCAATGCTGAACCTCACAAGCTGTGAGAACAAGGAATCCCCTAGCAAGGGGCGCTCATCACGGGCAAGTTCGTTTGCCAACCAGGTGTGCTCGTTCTGACTGCAGACCCATGTTAGATGAAAGCACCCGTCTCGCCAACTCCAATTCTTGGTCATATTTAGACACACTGCAAGAGGTCAACTTTATTGCTGGCTTCAGGAAGCGGAAAAGGGCAAAAGGTTCATTCTGCTGTTCAATGCATTCAGGTAGGAATTCTCATGGCGGTGGATATCATTGACAAAGGACATGTTGTCCACTCACCATTTCTGGCTTGCACCGTCGCCTTTTGACTTTTGGGGCTCTATGGTGAGGCTTCTTTGGCAGGGTGGATGTTTGAGGGAAAATGCAGGGAATGATACCGCCCCGTTCTTTGGGCTCAACGCTTGAAATGGGGGTTACCCAGCCGGTGCCACCTAGAAGTTGACTACCGGTTTTTGGACAGTGGGCCACGAACGTCGAAGGGGAACGCCACCAAAGAGGGGAATAGTCGGTTGCTGTTGACTCCTCTGCCAAAAGTGTTTAACTTGCGGGTCCCATACGGAAAATCAACAAAGGTTAAACCCAGAAAGAAAGAAAGGGCCCTACTTCCCTGGGCCCTCCCGTCATGAGGCGGGACTGGCAGGCACAAGTTTTACGATGAGCACCGTCATGTTGTCCGTGCCCAGGCCATCTGTTTTGGCAGGGTCCTGGAAAAAACACGGGGAAACCGGGTGTCTCTCAAAGGGGTTCACTACCGTTGGTTTCCTTTTGTGGCCCCCAAACACGGTGTGCGAGTCCGTGCGTGAGAAGCTCGGGAGGGTTTCAGGCCGAACTCCACGACCGCACGGGAAAAGAGGGCAGCCTCGCGCTTCGGTGCTGAAATTCAAAAGGGACACCCCGAGGAAAACACGACCGCAACCTCTCGCGTGTCGGTGCCCTAGCAGGGCCCCTGCACAGCACTTATGCACCCGAAAGGGACGCTGGAAATTGGAAAGAACCAACCAGCACGTGACCAGCACCAAGCATCACATGGGAAAAAGTCTGCGACTGGTCTCGGATCAAGATACTTGTGAGAAGGTAAAGTGAACCTTTTGCCATATTGCCGTTCTGTCTCGGTCGCCATGCTGTTTCCAGCCTGAGTCGTTGACGCGAGTAAAGATCAATCCAAGGGTCCCAGGATGAAAGCCTGACAGCCCGGACAACCAGCGGTCCTTTGGACCGTTTTCCGCAGGAGCCCGTGTGGCTGGGGTCGAAAAGAACCTTCTAAAACCATGGGCTTGGAATCACCAGACCGCGAGTTTGAGAGCATGTTTCCATTTCTTAGATATTGCAAAGCTTCAATTCCCAGCTTTTGCGCGTCCTTGCACGAACAAAGCTACCTCAGCTTTTGCCGCTCTTATGTTGGATTCTGGTCCCCTACTTGAAGTGTACAATGTGCCAAGAGACCCGACATGGCCCGAGTGATGCCAAACAAGACCCGTAAGATACAACGATGAATTTTTGGGTTTAGTGGAAAACACCTTTATTTCCCAAAAAGTTAAAGTCTAAAGATCCAACCCAATAGCAGTCCACTTCCTGACCCAAACAACCCACGACCCTCTCTCACCTCGGTGCAGCAATGGTCCAAGAGCTCCGTTGCAACCATCTGAAGATCCTTACCATCAGCCTCGGGGGGGGAAAAAAAAGCCAATCCCTCGAAACACGAAGCCGTGCAGTCCCAAACGACTTAAAAGCCCTGAAGCAAAATGCGCGTGTTGTCTGCAACCTTTGTGCTTCACAAGCTGCAAGTTGTGTGCTTCACAAGCCAGCACTGGGAACGGGTTGCTGTCCATTAAAGCCCGACCTTTGAAAACCCAAAATACCTGAGAAGGAAGCGCACGAAAGCCAGCTTGTTCCCCGTGCAAGTGCCCTTCAGCGCGGGAAGTCGCCCTTTGCGTCCCAGCAGCACCAACCCGCTCGAAAGGGAAGCGTCGAGAATGCAGGACCCGGGGCCTGACATCCCCAGCATCGCCAGGCCACTCCATCCAGGAAGCCCAACCCCCTGCCCAGGGCCGCCTGGAAAGGTGAGCAGGCCATGCTGAACTTGAACAGCACCGTTAAGAGTTCTAAACGTGCCTTTGGAGCGGGCTGGGGATGCTGGGCACTTTCACTTCAGCGGCCGGCATTCTTGACATCCCCGCCCCAAAAAGTGCTGAAATTGGACGCGGCAAATCCCCCTTCGTATGCCCGACGCACGGCCCAAAAAAATCCTCTCCGACCACGAGGGAGCGAGCGGGACGTCGTTGGAAGAATCCGGTCCAGGAGCGCTCATGGGAAAAGCTGTAAAAAGCAGTGCTGATGAAGACTGAGTAGTTTGTAGAACAACAAGGATGCCCAGGGCCGCCTGGAAAGGTGGAGCAGGCTGTGCTGAACTTGAACAGCACCGTTAAGAGTTCTAAACGTGCCTGTGGGGCGGGCTGGGGATGCTGGGCACTGTCACTTCAGCGGCCGGCATTCTTGACATCCCCGCCCCTGAAATTGGACAAGGTGAGCAAGCTGTGCTGAACTTGAATAGCACCGTTAAGAGTGCTTAACGTGCCTTTGGAGCGGGCTGGGGATGCTGGGCACTTTCACTTCAGCGGCCGGCATTCTTGACATCCCCGCCCCAAAAAGTGCTGAAAGAGGACGCGGCAAATCCCCCTACGTATGCCCGAAGCACGTCCCAAAAAGAGCCTCTCAAAACTGAGTAGTTTGTAGAACACGAAGGATCAGGGCAGCCTGGAAAGGTGAGCAGGCTGTGCTGAACATGAATAGCACCCTGAAGAGAACCAAACGTGCCTGAGCAGGCTGGGGATGCTGGGCACTTCCACTGCAGCGGCCGGCATTCTTGACATCCCCGTCCCAAAAAGTGCTGAAATTGGACGCGGGAAATCCCCCTTCGCATGCCCGAAGCACGGCCCAAAAAGAGCCTCTCCGATCACCAACCCAGGACCCAGCATCCCCAGCATCTCCAACATCCCCAGCATCCCCAGCCCACTCCATCCAGGAAGCCCCAACCCCCTCCAGGTGCCCAAAAACTGCTCAAATTGGACGCGGCAAATCCCCTCTAGTATGGCCCAAAAACGGCCCAAAAACGTCCTCCCCGCCCGCACCCCTATTACTCACTTCGTTCGCCTAAACTGAACTCAGCCTAAGCCTCCAAAGGAGGCTGGCTTTCGTGATTGCATGCGTTGTTTAAAACATGCCGAGACCAACAGCAAGGACTTGCTAAGCAGGCGCCAAACTGCAACATGCCAAGGACAAACGAACAACACAACTACTTCTGCTGTTGCCACCGCGACCCAGATGACAGAAAATTCAAATCAGTCTGAGACATACTTTAGTGAACCGTAAAAAGAAGAAATACTGGTCAAGAGACAGTCCCAAACATGCCGAGAGGAGCGAACAAATACATCATGACCCGGTTGGGCATATGACACCACAGGGACCAATGAAGGACAAACGCTCGGCATTTGGACCGATCAGAAGACGCCCCGGCCTCAACTGCCCCCAAAATCTCGCCTGTGTTGGGTTTGTTTTGTGACAGGAGGTTCATGCGCCAATATTGACCCTCTATCCACAAACCAATTTATGAACATATGGGGGGCTATCGCCCCTCCACAAGTAATTGCCGACTAAACCCAGGAAAATGCGCCCCCTTATTTTCATAAACTGGTTGATTGACTAATATGGGGTCAACATTATCCATGTGTGTTCATCTGTTGGAGGCTTGCAACCCTGAACAAAGGAAACACAAAGCAAGGGCCCTGAGCAGATTCTACGCAAGATGACCCAAGCGGCAAATCGCTCCTTCACGAAGTCACAAATGCCCTGAGCGGTGCTCGAGTCACGGGAACTGAGAATCTCGCATGCCCACGTGAGCAGCACCCCGAACCCGTCAACGTGTTCTACCAAAAAAAGGTTCCAAAGGGTTTTCCCAGAGCCCAAACTCTAAAACCCACAGGTAATCAAATGGTAGAGCCACCTACCGAGTTCAGTGCCTAGATCAAGGCCATCTGGTTTAATTTTGAGCCACAGCCATCTTGCTTGGGGTTCATCTGGGGAAGCCACTTCGATGCAGCTCGTGGAGGCTTGGAAAGGAAAACGCCAATGGTCTTCAGAGAAGCGCCTTCTCAGCTCAGGCAAATTTCGAGGGATACCTCCCCCATTCTTTCCAGAGATGCAGGAAATCAAGAGCCCAGGGGAAACCGCCGGCTTTTGACAAGAATGATGCTTGAAAAGAATGGAAAAGGAATCAACCCCTAGAAAACTCAGGACCTTCACCCAGGCGTGAAAGGAGTCAGGGCCCAGTCAGGGGCTGAGTTGTTCATTCTTTCAATCTTCGCTCTTTTCGTGTGCACCAGACTTTTTTTGCCCGATGCAAAGAAGGATGCTGCCTGGAAAAGGCATATGGGGAAGCTAGCTTTAAGAGTGCAGCAACAGCCGAAGGCGAACGGTTGCCAATGGCGGGTGCATTTGCCCAGAATGATCTGGAAGTAGAAGATTCACCCTTTGGAATATTCCTTCTAGTTGATTTGGGCAAGTGCAAAAATCCGGCCCAGAAACTCTGGAACTCGGGACCTGTGTGGTTCCCTTGTAACAGATTGCCAGTGCATTCACCGGAACCGAAACATGCTGTGCTTTTTGTGCCTTCACTTCGTTCCCCTGCGAAAGCCAGAAGGGGTCTTGCCCATTGGGGCAGGTTTTTGGCGGGGGGGGTGGGGGTTCCCAGGCTGTTGGGGATACTCGCTGGGCACCCCGATGCCCCAGGCGGTCCTGGTTCGTCATCACGTCCCAGACCCCGTCGCCTGAGCTCACACATACCCCGCAACAAGGACGCCAAAACGGAAAAAAAAAGCTGAACAAAAACATATTCATCAGGGGTCAGTCCAATTTACTGTTTGGGTAATGGTTGAGGAAAATCACTGTTTTGGTGATTCGATACCGAAGTGGGATGCCTATCCCCATGACCAATCACTGTAAATGAGAGTTCTCTTGATGTCACAGAAAGTGGCACTAAAACCCATTTATCTACAACCATGGGTTGAGTTTTACATGTGCGCTTTTGGAGGTCTAACATGGAGAATTCGAGGGGGCCTCTCAAGATCGAATAGATTCCTGTGGGGGGCCCGCCTCTTTCGTTCAGGTCCGCGCGTTGATGAGAGGTTGTTCGGTTGCCCTTCGCGACCAAGCATATCACTCCAACCTATTCTAGCCTTTGCCGCCAGCCCCCCAAAAATAAAGATGCATTTTGGTCAAACATGGTGAACCGTGAAATTCAACTACCCTCCCACCAACTAACATGGAAGTGCGCAGACCCCTGTAAAAAGACTACCTTCCTCTTGGAAAGGGGGTCTGTGCACTTCCATGTTAGTTGGTGCGAGTGTAGTTCCACAGAAAGATTGAAGCCACCAAACTGCAGTGGCGTCAATTGCACCGGCGAGTCGCTAGGCCCTTGGCTGGAGACTAGTCTTTCGTGCCCCTCGGCCATGGAGAAATGCTTCGGAATCAAATGACTTGAGCAGAAGCAAGGGCGACTCAGCAACTGCAAAACGACACCAGCCCTATCAGGCAAAGATGGTCCAGAGGATAGAGAGCATGGATCTCAGGCGATAACAAGGAACATCATTGCAATTCAACCGGGGGGCTGTGCCCCGACTACGGGGCTGCATTCTCCCAGCTTAGCCTTTTTCAACCTGAAAATGACATTCACACCCGAAAGCAGTTTTGAAAAAGCAACCGTTGAAATTCGCACCATTGACATTCCCGGGAACCCAAAAGCAGTCAGTTTTGAGAACTCTTTTGGTGGAAGCCAACGCCCACACGTCAGCAACTTCGAAAGCGCGCGCGCGCGCGCTCGAGCAAGGGACAGGCCAGCACGATAAACTCATCCTCGGGGAGCAACTCACGCACGATCACGTCCGGGGTGGAGCAAATGACCTGCTCCTTCGGAGGGATGTTGGGGGCTAGATATCAGCTTCTAGGTTTGCAGCCTGTTTGGTGAGTAGGGGAGGGTTGCCTGAAAATAATTAGGGAAGAAAGCAACCTTCGCCGGTTGTGTTAAACTGAAAGAGTTATCTGCACACAGAATGGCCCAACGGACCTGCACAAAGGTTAACCCTCTGGGGCCTGCCCGAAGGCTGGCCGAAAGGAAGCCAATTGGTTGCCCGGTTGCCCGGAAACTCATGCTTTGCGAAAAGCACCATTCCCCTCCACTTGGCGAACATGGGAAATGCAATCCAAAGGCAAGCGCCGCATTCAAGCATCCCAAAGGGCTGCGAGATGTGCATTATCCATAAGCCAAAGGTCACGCCTGCCACCTGTGATCCGAAAGTCTCAGGCATTTCGAGACTGCCAACTATGACTATTCAATCCATTCCCTGTGACCAGACATCGATCCCTCAAATTGTCTGTCTAAATGGATGCCCATGCCTCCCAGCCTACATCATTTGAAGACTAAAGTCTGATAACACATGAGCCCCCTGCAAAGGCGTAAGCACAATCAAAAAAGTCCCTGTCACAGACACGTCTTGAAGCACCACAATCAGCATGTGCCAGGCAAAGGTTGCAAGTCCATTGAGCGGGGGTAAGGCAAAACATTTGTGAAACGCTAGGAGGCGATTCATTCAAGGGAAACACGTCTCATTCAGTGCGTCCTGAACAGGGTTTTTTGTGCCCTTTGATTAGTTGAGTGCAAACCCCAAACGAGAAACAGACGTGGGTTACGACTCGCTGATCGATTCGTCAAGTTGAAGATGACCTTCTTTCGGGTCTGGGAGGCCCCCAAGACCATTTTCACTCTTCAGATCGGTTTGAATTCGGGCTTGAACACAAAACCGTTGAGGGTAAATGGAGAATGGGCCAAAATTGAACCACCCCATGAAAACACGCGCGCGCGCGAACTCGTCCTTTCCATCTTTGACCCACAGCCAAATGGGGAATACCCCGGTTTCCACCCTTTGCGCGGGGAAAAAACCGGTTTCCTGGTTCGCAGGGGGCAGCCAGCTGCCCTCCATTGAACCCCGCACTCCTCTGGCTTCAAGTCGCTGCGCCTAGAGGCATCGTTCCAAAACACGGCTTGCTTGTTTACTTGTTTGACTGACTCATTGATTGCTGCTTTTGTTTGTTTGATTGGTTGATTGATTGCGTGTTGAATTGTTTGATTGTTTGCTTGTTTTGTTTGATTGATTGATTTGGTTGTTGGATTGGTTGATTGCGTGTTGAATTGTTTGATTGGTTGCTTGTTTTTGTTTCATTGATTGACTTGGTTGTTTGATTGGTTGATTGAGTGGTTGATTGCGTGCTGAATTGTTTGATTGTTTGGTGTTGTTTTGTTTGATTGATCGATTTGACTGTTTAATTGGTTGATTGATTGGTTGATTAAGTGTTGAATTGTTTGATTGCTTGCTTGTTTGATTGGTCAATTGATTGGTTGATTGCGTGTTGAATTGTTTGAATGGTTGCTTGATTTTGATTGATGGATTGATTGATTGATTGATTGATTGATTGATTGATTGCTTGCTTGCTTGCTTGCTTGCTTGCTTGCTTGCTTGCTTGCTTGCTTGCTTGCTGCACCCCTTTGAAACGGCAAAGCTCAGAGGCATGGCTTCGCCAATTTTCAGGTGGTTGTCAATCCAGCGCGTGCACTCGGCTAGGTTCAGAAATGAAACAGGTGGTGCTGGCAATGTGACATTGAGACCACCTTGAAACGCGTATCTTCCCAGCCTGCGCACTTATCCAGCATAGTAGGGGCCGGGGTGTTGCTGGTTCCTGCTTCACTACACAACCCGTTAGAGTTTTTGCGCTGAAAGTTTGTGACAGCTTTTGCTACCACAACGCGAAGGGCTGCTTATCAGGCTTTTTATCTTGGTGAGGCTGGTTGATCCTGGGTGCTGGGGCACAAAACATGGCGCAAGCAGTTCTTTGGTCAAGTATCCGATTTTGGAGCCTCAACAACTTGTTGTTTGGCTGCTTTTGCTTGCTGTCCCCCTGGCGCCCCTCAGAAACTCAAGGGTAAAGGGCCTTCATGACAGATTCTGCCCATTTGTACCCCGGAATCGGTTCACCATAACACAACAAAACTCGGCAGGCCGTATGCTACCATAGCAGTCATTTGCACCCCCTCGCCCGGGAAAGCTTCCTTCCAAGCCGCTTCTTGTACTCGAGGTCCCCCACTGCGCGGCTGAGGTTCAGGTTTCCGTTCACCCTGGCTCCGCCCTGGCTGTCCTCCAAGGCAACGCCGGATTCCGCTGAAATCTGGAGTAAGTGAGCCAGCAACATCCAAACCCCCGGCATGTGGTAGGTCACAGGACCTTCCCTCGTTCTGGCATTTTTGGTGGGGACACCAGAGCAACCAAGCAACTCTTAGCCACTGAAGCCAAGTTCCTCCATCAGGGTTCCTCTTGCAGGTTCTGCCCAAAGCACCTGGAAACAAAAGATTAACCTTTTGGGGCGGTGACTAAATATGAACTGACTCAGAAGGGGAACCAAAAGGTCGAAGAGTCGACTATGGACAAGTGATATCTTTTGCGCGTACTCTGGATGGACAAATCCGTCCGCACCACTTTGAAAGAGCAGTTGAAACTGTCGCGTTTGTTGGTATTTACAGGTAGGCTTCCAGTTGCTTAAGTCTCCGGGAACAAATATGTCCAGTGGTGATCAAAACCAACAAGGGAAAATGAAAGGCAAATGGAACTCGGTTGCTTTCTGCTCCCCTGCTAAAAGTTTATCCTTTAGTGGTTTAATGGAAAACCCAATAGTTGGCAAAAAGTTAAAGTCCTAACATCCAAGCAAAATGCACAAAAGTGTAAATAGGCGTGCAAATGGATTTCGCAACCACCACTTCCATTTGGTTGAGACCCCTGGAAAAAATGAAAATATCTCCAGCAGCGATAGATTCCCTTTAAAACCAACAAGAGAAAAAAACAACAAATGCCCAGTAGTGAAATCGATTCCTTTCAACAACAAACGGGGAAAAGAACAAACAATGTTCAGCAAATGGAAGATCAGTAGCATCCCTGTAAAACCAACAGGGGAAAATCACAAAAAATGTCCAGTAGTGAAATCGATTACATTGAAAACAAACAGTGGAAAGTCACAACACATCTTCAGCAAAATGAAAGATCAGTAGCATCCCTTTAAAACCAACAGGGGAAAATCACAAAAAAAAGTCCAGTAGTGAAATCGATTCCCTTTTAAACCAACAGGGGAAAATAACAGAACATGTCCAGTAGTGAAATCGATTCCCTTTAAAACCAACAGGGAAAAATAACAACAAATATTCAGCAAATGGAAGATCAGAAGAATCCCCGAAAAACCAACAGGGAAAAATAACAAAAAATGTCCAGTAGTGAAATTGATTACATTGAAAACAAACAGTGGAAAGTCACAACACATCTTCAGCAAAATGAAAGATCAGTAGCATCCCTCTAAAACCAACAGGGGAAAATCACAAAAAATGTCCAGTAGTGAAATCGATTCCCTTTTAAACCAACAGAGGAAAATAACAAAACATGTCCAGTAGTGAAATTGATTCCCTTTAAAACCAACAGGGAAAAAGAACAACAAATCTTCAGCAAATGGAAGATCAGAAGCATCCCCGAAAAACCAACAGGGGAAAATAACAAAAAATGTCCAGTAGTGAAATCGATTACATTGAAAACAAAAGTGGAAAGTCACAACACATCTTCAGCAAAATGAAAGATCAGTAGCATCCCTTTAAAACCAACAGGGGAAAATCACAAAAAATGTCCAGTAGTGAAATCGATTCCCTTTTAAACCAACAGGGGAAAATAACAGAACATGTCCAGTAGTGAAATCGATTCCCTTTAAAACCAACAGGGAAAAATAACAACAAATATTCAACAAATGGAAGATCAGAAGCATCCCCGAAAAACCAACAGGGGAAAATAACAAAAATGTCCAGTAGTGAAATCGACTACATTGAAAATAAACAGGGGACAATCACAAAATGAAAGATCAGTAGAATCCCTTTAAAACCAACAGGGGAAAATAACAACAAATCTTCAGCAAATGGAAGATCAGAAGCATCCCTTTAAAACCAACAGGGGAAAATAACAAAAAATGTCCTGTAGTGAAATCGATTCCCTTTAAAACCAGCAGGGGAAAATAACAAAACATGTGAAATCGATTCCCTTTAGAACCAACAGGGAAAAAGAACAAAACATCTTCAGCAATTGGAACAGGGATCTTTACACTATACACCTGAACATTGCAACTTGTGAATGGTGGTTTCCCTTTATTTTGGTGTTGAACAAACAACATGTCTCAACTGGTTGCGAAATTAATTTCTTTTAAGGAGCCCTGTGGAAGATCAGTAGCATCCAGCAAGCCCAGGCGTCACGAGGCGTCACGAAGCCTCCAGCCAGCCGCCAGCTGCTTCGATGCGCGCCTTCTCCGTGTCAGAGGCGGGCCTCGTTCTTGCCGGCAAAATGCGGGGGCCCGTTCGTTTTGAAACCAGCCCCTGCTGTTTTTTTTTTTTTGGGGGGGGGGCGGGGGTAAACCAAATGGAGGTCAAAGAACAGGTTTGGGTTGGAAAACGGCCAAAAACCCTCGGTGCAGCCATGTTCTCGGTTGCCTCTCTGCTTCGCTTCAACTCAGACAAGGTGTGCAGCTTTGGCTGAATTCGTACTTGCTGGGGGGGAGGTGGTTCTCAAGGAAGGTGATCAAATTACATGACTTGGTAAAGCAATCCTGGATCAATACACCTGCATGCATTCCAGCAATTTGCCAACCAAAAGCAAGGGACCTCCACAGCAAGGAAACGCCATTGTCGCAAACCAAAACCCCCGAGGCTGCAAAAACAAAAACAGAAGTGCAGAATCAAAATGCATGTTACCTTGACCCATTGCAATCCAAAGGGCTTGTGGTCATAGGACAGCTCGAGGGCTTTCCCTGCCCTGCACATCACGGCGCGGCTGTCGCCCGCGTTTGCCGTGATCACGTCCTGGACCGTGAGGAGGAGGGAAAAAAAAACGCAGAGCCACCATGGCCATCCGTTCAGAGGGCCAAGCCTTGTCCCCCTTCCAGGCAAGGTAACCAATGATAGGCTGTCACCTACTAATTTTGCGTAGTTTGCTTCCCAAGCTATGGGTGTTTCTGAACATCATGGGCCCAAGAAATCGTCAGAGTTCCTGGCTTGCGCCCAGAGAGCAGGCCTTGCATTCATAAGTGATGATAAGTGTTGCTGCAGCTCAGAATCCCCAGTTTTCCATTGGCAAAGCCACTTGTCCCATTTTTGTTTGGAAGGTTTGGGATTTTCCTCTGATATCAACCGAAAAAAGTCTACGTCGTTTAAGACCATCTTAAGGTAGTCAAAAAGTGGAACCCTGACCTGAAGGCTGCTGCAGGGTCTGGCTGATGCTTGGAAGTCACTGGTCGGCAATTGCCTTCGTTGGAAGGACATTGTGTATACCATCGAGGTACATGATGTTTAGCATTGGATTAATTTACTTGTGAGGAGGAGGGGAAAAAAGACATCAAAGGGCCCTGCAAAGGGCCCGTTCTTCAGGGGAGGTGCCCTTTGATTAGTTGGTTGCTTTGGCAAAGGCCGGAGCAAACCTGACCAGGGGCTGGAACATTTGATCTATTCAGAAATGAAATCCGCTGAGGGTATTCTTTCATGAGGCTTAAACTTTGCACAGATGTACGCACGCACCAGCTGTATTGGATGAGGACCGGTCGCTGGTGTGAAGCGAGCTTTGTCCAAGTAACCGAAATGACCTGGAAATAACAGCTTAACCCCTGGAATCTAGACTTTAAATGAGCCAACGTGAAACAAGCACAGGGTCAATACAGTAGATCGGCTTTGGACAAGTGATGACAAGTGAGTTGTCAATCCATATCAATCCCCTGCGTCACCTGTTTTGCCCGGGCCCCGGTCATTCTTTCTGACCAGCACGGACACAGCGGTGCAGCCGACGGTGTCTGGCACGAACTCATCCTGATTTCAGCCGAGCGCGCTGCATGCATTCTGCCGGGGAGGTGCCAGCGACACCCGCAATGGAAACCATGGCGCTCTGGAAACGGGGGCTCATGGGCTTGTAGGGCTTCTCTGTCGCCAGGTTACGAAGTTGCACTGCAACTGAACACTGTAGTGCGCAAGCCGGGCTTAGGCAGTCTTGAAGTCTACGAGTCGGGTCAAGCCCTGAAGACTTGGAAGCAGGTGGGTTGCAGGTGGCATGCAACGCTTACCTGGGAAGCCAATGCCGGACTCCGAGCTCCGGCGTGTCACTCGCTCAGCATCCCGAAATGAGCGCCGGAAACCCATCGACTTTGGTTCTACCAAGGTTGTAGATGTTGAGGAAGGTGATTGTCTACCCCCGTTGGGAATAAAAGGACCCACAGCTGTCACCGTTTTTCAGAAGTGCCAACGTAGCCTGTTCCGCGAGGCAAAGCATCTGTGCTGGCAAGATGCAACAGCAGCAGGTCCAGCCCAGCCAAACGAAACACGTCAACGCGGCAAGTCTAAACAAATGGCCCAGCATACGTCCGGGCAATGTGCTGCCGCCAGTGTCAACAGTGTCCTGCCTGAGCATCCAGCCCCCCGCCGCCTTTCAAAACTGAGCAACATGCATGCGTGGACTCCATAATGAAACCACAACACACCTCAAGAGCCTCGAGGCCAGCTTTCGGGGATAAAACCCGTTTAGAAGCCACCTGATTCGAAACCTGCGGCTCGAATCGACCATGGCTAGGGCGGTTGCTTTCTGCTCCCCTGCTAAAAGTTAAACCTTTAGCGGTTTAATACGGAAAACCCATTCGTTGGCAACAAATTGACGTCCCAACATCCCTTGGCAACATGCACCGAAGTTGGCTACGAACGCATGGAATTCCTCGCATGCGGAGTCGCTGCCAGGGAGCTCCGCTTTCCGCTTGCTTCAGCTTCTGCAGCCTCATGTACATCTCCTTCATGGCCGCCTGCTCCTGGCAAACCACGGAGGAGCCCGTCGGTCGAACCGGCTTCCAACGAGGTGTGCTTGGTGAAACTGCTTTCTGGGTGAATTCTACTGCTTCACCAAGCTGAAATAAGGGGGTTGGGGGGCTATTCCCCTACATTAGCCACCATTTGGGGTGAGGTCGTGTGAAGTCGCTATAGTTCACCCAGAGTTTGGGCTTGCCTACAGCGGTTAACAAGTTTTGGCTAGTCTACCCCCCCCAGACTAACATGGAAGCTGCCGAACGGACCCCTTTGGAAGACTTAGTTCCACTTACAGGATTGGCCTTCTGGGAGCTTCCATGTTAGTCTGAGGGAGTGTGTAGGATGTTTGAAGGCTTGGAGAACGGGACCAGCAACCTGATAGAGAACCAGGCCATAATTTCCCCCATCAATTCGATGGGGTCCATGTCGCTTTCCAGTCCCCAGGCCCATCGCCCGAATCAATCTGACCAAGGCCATGCAGTGCCCGCGTGGAAATCAAGGATGCCCCTTTCCGAATCTGGTTGCAGGGCTGGGCCCTTTGGATTAATGTTGACCCCGGAAAAATAAAAAGCCTGTGTATTAATATGGCGGGCTGTGGTTCATCACTGTTGGAGGGGAACACCCCCATATTTTCATAAACGGCTCAAGCCCCGGGCAGGGACTCAGAGGTGACTGCCAAAACGCCAAGGGAGTGCTCCTCAGAGTGCCCCGTTGTGTGGCTGGGTTTTCCCCTTTGGCGGTTTCTACGTGAACCCACCCGCAAAGCATCGCAAAGCGCAGGCCTTCCCAAGCGAACTGAACTACACCCTCAAATTGCCGCCACGCGACTTCCATGGTCACTGCTCCTTTCCTGAGCATCCGGTTCCCGTGTCGAGCCCAAAGCCATAACTCCCCTCAATTGCCCAAAAATCCGCAAATCCTAAAATGAGACCTTGAGATCGCCCACAGGGGAAAACAAACAGAAATCTTAAAAATCTCACACCCTAAACCATCTGTAACAACCAGACCTCGAGGGGGAAACAAATTCTGCAAATTCGGAACCTTCGGAGATGAGTTGAGCTCGGCGAAAACAAATCCGCCGGGTGCAAGCTGAAGGCAGCAAGTCCTGGTCGGCTTCAAGAAACCGGAGCCATGGCATCTTCAAAACCTGAAAGGAGTCCCCAAGAAAAGTGGCTGGTGCCATAGGGAATGAGAAATGGAATGAGCCCAGGCTTCGGTCCCCTTCAAGGAAACCACCAGTTGGATGGTTTATAAGGGTCATTCATTCCCTATTCCCTGCCTATCGATCTCGCTCGTGAACCCCCCTGAAGTTGGTGAGCGAGATCGACACTGTTTGCGAAGCAGACGCCAACGGTTTCAGTGGGCGGCTGACACAAGTGTGCCCTGCACGAAAGGCACATGTAGTGAGTTGTTGAGAGAAGCAAAGCTGAAATATGACGGTTCTTTCTTAAGACCTTATTCACCCTTCACCTCTGACTTGCTGGATTTAGTCTTTTTTGCGAACCCAGGAATTTCACTGTTGATTCTCAGGGGTGGCCCTTGTAAAAAGGGATCCCTTACTTTTGTGGGGCACACCCCCGAAGAGGGCATTTCCATCGGCCTAGTGGAATCTGTGAGGTTGGGTCTCCGACATGAAAACTGAGAAGTATCCATGGGCCGAGCGAAAACCTAAGAGCTCCCTCCCATCACTGACCAAGGGTCTGGTGATACCTTTGAACGGGTTCTAACAACTCGGCCCCTCCGGGATGCTACACACGTCATCACACATCTTCGCACGATTGTCCCTTGGCGCAGGCTATTGGAACCCATCGGTTTTGACATAGGCAAACGGTTTGCCAATTCACCCACGAAACGTCTGGACCCGATTAAAGAAACCTTCCCCATGAGCAACGGCCCATACCCCCAAACCGCCCCCCACCCAACCAGCCCTTGTTGAACCTCGCCCCCGGCGGAATCACCCAAACCGAGGGGCTGGGACTTGGCCGACAACTCCCTGAGCTGCCGCTCAAGATCCTCGCGGACTCTCGCGGACCGCTGGGTAGAAACACCAAAAACCGAGCCTGTCCACGTAGCCATGGAACCTGACTATGCGGATTCCACAGGATGGGTTTCCTGAGAAGCTGCCTGAGCTGGTGAGGCAAATTGGGAGTTTTCCCACCAGGGAACTCCATACCCGATACCCAGAGTCTTGCCCTCTGAACCCTCCAATGTAACAGGACCTCACTTCAGGGCTAAAGTGATGACCAATGAGTGAGCTCAAGTGATGAAACCCCCCTCACTTCAATCACAAAAACCCTCCGGAAAAGATGCGCAACGTCCACTCAGGGTGCTTCCTAAAATAGGTCATGCTGTGGACGGTTGCGAAGCGCATTTCGCACTCCGCAAGGAACCATAACGTTCGTTGGTATTTCCACAGGAGCAGGGTTTCTAGGCGGTGCAGAATGTCGTCCATCCACAGTAGGGGCCAACCGTTCAGGGCAGTCCTCCTGCCCCCCTTTGGCGCAGTAGATTGCACGACATGCGTTGGGAAGACACGGGCCCTACCCCCCTCCAAAGCAAGGAAACCTCCAATACGCCGTTTCCCACTATAGTTGTCGAGTGACCAAGCGGATGGCTGTTTCTTGAACTATACAGGGGTCATCCAGGGCACACACGCGCACACACACACACACCTGGCAGAAGCATCCTTTTGCATGGCCTCTAGTATGCCCACTTCAGCACCCCCAAAGAACAAATAATCTAGAGCCACCGTACATACATATGCCCTAAACAACAAATCGGGCACACAGCCACCATACATACAAATACATGTCTATATATACACACGGCCACCATGTATATATATATATAAGTCGCTATGTATATATATATATATATATATCGCCTTTTTTAGAGTAAATATTCCAACCCGCCCGGGCCCCCTGCTTCCGCCTCCACCGCTCCGGCAGGCGCCTTGCCGCAGCTCCGCGCCAGCTCCTGCCGATCCGGTCGGCCCTGTACTTACGGAAAATGGACGCCTGGAGGCTTCACTCCCCAAAGGACCCAGGAATAAAAGGTTAACCTTTTGGGGCCTTTACTAAATAGACCAAAATTGGAAAATCAAAAGGTTAAAAGGTCGGCTGTGGGCAACTGAGTTCACTCTTCGCTGCGAGCGAGGTATGACCCAGGGTCTGGGGTGAGTAAACCGGATCCGGGGATTCGGGAATGCTGCCCGGGACCGGTTCTTGCCTCACTTTTCCAGAAGAGTTTGGAAGTGACACACGGCTGTGGCTTCATTTGTCACCCACACAACCGCGGCTTGCATCGGAAGGGAAACCAACACGCATGCGGGAGGATGCCCCTAATCTTTAACTTGCTGGAACCATGGCTGGAATTAGGACCCCCGCAAACAAAAAAATGCCGGTAGTGGAAAACAAAAGGGAACCCCAAAAAAGCAACAACAAAAAGGGGGAACTGATTCTGGGGAAGGAACCATGGGCACCGAATGCGGTCGCAGTTGCTATCATCCCTCGCTCAGATTCTTCGCCAGGCTGGAGGCTCAGGGTCCACCATTTCGCTGGTGCAATAGCAATGGAAGGATCGAGTTTCCGGGTGCCGGGAAACGAAGATTCGGGATTCCCGTTCAGGAAGCCACAAGGGATGGTTTGTGGGGGTCATTCCAACTCATTCCCTGCTGAGAACCGGCAAGTTCAGTCTACCCAATAAATGGCTTGCCCAAACACCGACAAACCACCGAGAAAATAACTAGGGTGCCAGCTGTTCAGTGGTAAAAAGGAGCCCTTGTTTGGGGCTGACCATGTTAAGTGGGGAAGCCATCAAACAAAAGGCCCTAAGGGTGAACAACATGGGAAAAACAAGGTAAATGGACTTCCTCGACAAACAAGACTTCAATTTCATGACTGGAAAGATGACAGTAGGCGATGGGAATGCCAAATCACTAAATGTCTTAGGCCACAAATCTGCACTTGAATCCCCATACTTCCACCAGCTATCCACTCCTATACTTCCTATGGAATCCGTAGAGAGGGCGAGCTCGTTTGCACCTCCCGGCTTCGTCCAAACAAACAAATGCGAAAGAAGAAAGAAAGAAAGAAAGAAAGAAAGAAAGAAAGAAAAGAAAGAAAGAAAGAAAGAAAGAAAGAAAGAAAGGAACAAGGAACACAACAACAAAGTAAAGAAAGGAGACACACAAACCAAGCTCCACCAAACCTTCTTAACTTAAAACTAAGCCAAACTCAAACCAGCGAACCAAACGAACGCAATCTCTAAGCCTCAAGCCACCCAAGCGAAGAAAGACCGACCAAAAAAAAAATGGAACACACCAATTCAAGCAACACCAAACAAACATATCTGGGCGAATGACTCCCAAACTGCATATATATATATATATGTGTGTGTGTATGGACTCCCGGGTGATTGCGTTTTCTCCCAAGTGAGCTCGTGACAGTTTATATGTACTTTGTCATCAGTCATGAACAGTCTGGTTGATTTGTTTACCTCCATGCTCCATGATCTTGCCAAGAAAACTTTCAAAAAATCCAAAAATATAGCACGATAGCTTGAAGTTATTTTGCATTTTAAGCCAAGATGATTTATTCACTTAGTCTTTCTGGAAGTGTAGGACTCGGACGCTCGCTTGGCTCGGACGCCCGGGGGTTGCCTTTGCAAAGGCCGGGTCGCGGAGCATGTCGTCCATGCGGTGGAAGGACTCCTAGACAAAAGGAAGGTGTGCGGGAGCTGCCACATGAGCAAGGAGCCAAATAAAGCCAACCAGAAATGGATTTTAGCTTTGTCGTTTGGAGGGGATCCTTTTCGGATTGGATCAAAGGGAATCCAAAAGGAATGCCACCATTTGGGGGGGGTCCAATGCTATTATACACATGCACGATTAGTGGCGCAGCTGCACCAGTGTTCAGTAGGATGCGCGGGACTCTCCTGCAAAAGCCGAACACGAAGGCAACAGTGCATTTGTTGCGCGCATGTCCAAGCCATACTATGCACAAACTTCTGGCATATTTGTTCAGTGCTTTGTTGCGCAGAAGCGGTGTGGCAAAAACAGGAGATCAAGACACAGGCTTGGTGCCAGCTTGGGCAAACCCAAGCTAGTGCCGGTCACAACTCTGCGCTGCCCCTTTCGAACTGCTTGCTGCTATCAAGAAACCAAGCAGACACAGCAGTCACCTCTTGAAGCATGTGCCGCCGTTTCTACAGCAACCAGCAGGAGGAATGTTTCGTTGCAGGCGTCAGCGGAGGCCACAAGAGGACCTGCTGAAGTTTGCGAAGTCTGGTGAAGGAATGTCCGAAATTGCTTTGCTGCACAAACTTCCGCGAAACCACCCGCAGTAGCAGAAACACATGTGCGCCAAGCTATACATCGACGACCCTCTTGAAAACCAACCTGGAATCCCGAAAGGAAATCCTCCACGCAAGCAACTCCTCTCTTGGTTTGCTATTTATCTTGAACCGAAGCACCACTCCCTGCCCACATTAAAACTCAATTTATTTCGTGTTTTAAGGCAACATTTTTGACCGACCCTTGCCTTGGGGCATCCTCCATACCCAAACGGGATATAGCAAGGGCCCGAAGTTGACACCCACCAGGAGCAATACAACAAAACCTGCAGAAACCGCTCAGTCCCTTCGCAGAAACCCCAAAAAACAAACAAAAAAAAACGCCATGCGCCTTCAGGATCGCCTCGAGGTCGGCTGGCTCCAAGTGGACCCCGCAGTACCGCTTCTTCGACTGGAGAAAACCGCAGCAAAAAAGGGCACACAAAAAAAGTCGGGTACTGACCATAGACTTCGGCACTGAACACAGGGGCAGCGACCAACAGAGGATAAGCCGAGGGCAATCCATCTATGGCAATTCAACAAAAAGGAGAAGCCCACCGCCAAAGAAACAAGCCTTCAGAGGTGAGGTCGCAACCCCGGTAGCTGAGGTCGCTATAACTTACTCAAACGCTTCCTCCCCCACAACAACCTGCAAACCCAACTCGCAGTGCGCCCACTTAACTGACAAATCTATGCCTTCTTGGAGGTATTCTTTGGCACATGAGCTATATAACTGGGCTGCCCTCAGATTCCCCGCTAAAAGTTTAACTTTTACTGGCTCATATATAAATGGAAACTACCACTAAAAAGCTAAAAACCTAAAAAGGCTAGGAACCGGACGGCTGGACGCCACCAAGTTGATTTCCATTTGGTTAAGACCCCTGGAAAAAAATAAACATATTTCCAGTAGTGATAGATTCCCTTCAAACCAACAGTGGAAAAAACACGTATTCGTATAAGCAAATGGAAGTTAAGGGGAGTCTCAGACTCGCCCTTTGGCTCAGATGGCTCGCCTTGTTCTTGCCGAACTTTGGCTTGCCAAGCTCCGCGGTCTTCGAGGTCAGCTCCTGCATGAAGTGCGTCCTCGTGCGGCGCGGCTCTCACTAAGCCAGGAAGATGACTTGCTGGTTCGGTGGGCAGGGAATGAGGGAATAACCACTATAAACAATCCCCTATATGGCTTCCTTTCAGGGATTTTTGTCTGGGTTCATTCCTAAAACCCTACCGAGCACCAGCAAGCGCCCCGGATAAAGCAATTCCCCCACCAATGACAAGCATTCCCCACCCTATGCCAGGTGCAGAATCACCAATCTTGTAGGTACAAGAAATAGACCAAACACATCCTTCCTGCGGGTCACACGCACACGCACACGCACACGCACACGCACACGCACACGCACACGCACACGCCCACACCCACACACACACACACACACACGCACACACACACACACACACACACACACACACACACACACACACACACACACACACACGCCCACACGCCCACACACACACACACACACACACACACACACGCCCACACGCACACACACACACACCCACCCACGCACACGTCACACACGCACACACGCCCACACGCACACACACACACACACACCCACGCACACACACACACACACTCACACACCCACGCACGCACGAACGCACGCACGCACTCACGCACCCACACACACACACACCCACACGCACCCACACACACACAATCACACAATCACACAATCACACACACACAATCACACAATCACACAATCACACAATCACACAATCACACAATCACACAATCACACAATCACACAATCACACAATCACACAATCACACAATCACACAATCACACAATCACACAATCACACAATCACACAATCACACAATCACACAATCACACAATCACACAATCACACAATCACACAATCACACACACACACACAAAAATCACACAATCACACAATCACACAATCACACAATCACACAAACACACAAACACAAACACACACACACACACACACACAGAACCTATTTACTGCGCAAATGACGCTGTAAGTGAACAATATTACAGCACGCCGTGCGCGGCGCAATTCACATGGAGTTTCTAGGGGAAGCCGTATTGGCATATTACTAAGCTGTGTTGTGAAAATACGCCGTAAAGGCGGCTGTCAGGCACTAAAACTGGTGCGTAACAGTTTACGTCTGAGGGCACCCATTTCAGGCTGGCAGGAAGGGAACCCAAAGAACAAGTACCAATGAGGGAAGGCGGCGGCCACCAAAACGCCTTTTCACAAGGGTGGTCTTCCTCCGAAAGGACCGAAGGGTCCTGGGAGTGCCATGTTAGCCCATGGAGTGGGAATGTGGGTGTTTTCTGGAGGGGTATCCTTTTCAGGTTGGTTAAAGGGAAGCCAGGACAATCACTATGTTGGGGGATTGCCCGATTTTGACACATGCGCCAAAATGGCACAACGAGGTACAGTACCCGTATGGCTTATTGCGACACAGGCCAAGAATAGGAACTCGACAGAGAGCCCCTTCCAATCATATCAACCCCGGATTATCAACCGGGTGGTTCACTCGGGGTGTTTCTCCCACCTATCAGCCAGGGCCTGAGTTCCCTTTTGAAGGCCCATCACCTGCCCCAGCCACTTGGACTTGCTTGCAGGCCTGGAGCGAACAACTCAGCACTTGTTGGCTTTCCTCGTTGCAGCTTCCTTTGTGCATCGGATTGCATCAAACCGGGGTCCCCTCATTTCCCTGCAAAACATCACCCCCAAGAACCTAAGTTCAACTCACCTTTGTGCCAACAAGGTGACGTCTACCTGTCAAAAACGAAAACGATGGGACCCCTTTTTTTGCGAGGAAATCGAGGCCCCAAAACCAAAAACGGTTGACACCTTCGCGTCCTAGGATCCGACCAAGGGCATAGAGTGAGGGTCCTTCTGTCTTCTGCCTGCTGCCTTGAAGGGTTTTGTCATAAATCAGAAGCCCCGTAACCGAAAGGCACCTGCCGATTCAAATCCAAGGGCCCAATTCAACCCAAAAACAAATGTGAACCCTACATGTCCTGAAAGTGCAAACAAAAAAACTGCGTCAGAGTCAAAAAAACACCAAGGCCAAAACGGAGCTGTTGAGGGTAACTTGTTTCGCCCTGGGGTCCTTGGCTTGTCTGTGGCCATGCACACGTATCCCTTGTTGAAACTGGAAAACTGGGCTCCCCTCAGATCCCCCGCTCAAAGTTTAACTTTAATTGGGTTGAATGGAAACTGCCACTAAACACTAAAAAGCTAAAAGGCCAAGGAGATGGCTGGGGGAGACACACAGGAAAGCACATTGGGGGAACGGAGGGGAACAGAGTGCAACCAAATCTGGGATGTCAATCTCAAATTTGCTCATGTTCTGAA